CGCCTCATGGGGGAGGAGCAGGAGGGGGGAACGGGGATCGGCAGGGAAAAGCGAGCTCAGTTTGCAGCTTACGTAATCTGGGCTCCATCATCGGCGAAATGAGCTGGGCGGCCTCAGCCCAGCTGCCTCGGGAGGGTTAAGAGGAAGCGGAGGACTTGAGGGAGGGCTGGGATGTGTAAGCGGCTTCGCGCCGATCCTCTCCACTTGGAACAGCAGCCTCCAGCTAAGAGGGGAAGAAGCGCAAAGGAGAAAGAGCATCCACTGCTGGGCTGCCAGGATGGAGCCGCTGTGCCGCTCTTCATCGCCACCACTGACCTTTCCTACCCAGCACAGCGCCGGCACCGGGCCCTGGCTCTGCTCGGCACTGCTGGGTGCTGCTCGCAGCGGTGCCGTGCAACCCCGCCGCGAAACCAGGAGAGGAACCCCCTAAACTGGCACCCACAGGAATAAAATCCCAGCTGCCAAACGGCAGCCTGCCAGCGTGGCACAGCCAAGCTAAGCCCTCTTGAGATGCCCTGCTCGCTTCCAGGCATGGCCCGGCTCTCCGTGCCCACTCCGTGGGCTTTGGGATGGAGATCCGGCCCTGGCAGAGCCGCTTCTGCAGCAGGATTTGCCACCAGCAGCTTTGCAGTGCAACAGGGAACAGGAATGTGCGGGCGCACAAGATAGGGCCGGAGTCACGGAATATTATTTCTCTCTTTCTTCCTCCTCGAGATGGTGGGAGACCAGGAATGACCCTCCTCTTACATCATATTTTCAGTCCCTAAACCCAGGGAGTGATAACCTCACTCCTGCTTTTTTCAGTCAAGATCCTAGAACCACCTCAGCTTCAAAGCTAGATTCCTCGGGGGATATAAACCACTGGATTTGCAGCTCTCTCAGTGCCCAGCTCCTTAAGGAAGACCCTTGACGAGAGGGCTGAAGCACAAGCAGGGAGAAATGATTACAGAGGCCAGGCTGGAGGAGAGGTGATGGGCAGAGCTCACTGGCAGTAGTTGGCATCTGCTGCAGGTCTAGCATCAAGCCAAGATCATTCTGTCAGGAAAAAAGGGGAAAAGGAGACCCCAAATATAAAACAGGGTGCAGGAAACATCCCACCTGCTTCCTGCTCCATCCAGGGGGAGATTCATGTCTCTCTGAGCAGACAGAACATGATGGAGCTGCTGTTCTGTGGGCTCACCTGGCTGGGCAGGACTGCATGCAGTGGAGCGGGATGGCCGTGACGGGATGCGGGAAGAGGAGCATTGATCTCCAGCTTAGGCTCCAGCCCAGGGGATCCCCTGCTACATAAATATTTGCCAGGCGATGCATTTGTACCTGTCGATGGCTGTCAATAGCGGCCTGATGTGCTGTTATCTGTGGAGCTGTCGCTCTCCAAACTCTGATCCCTATGAGACTCTCTGGATTTCAACCAACAGCTGAATTATTTGCCCTTTTCAATCGGGAATCTACCCCCTGGGATGGAGATGGATGCCATCACCTGTCTCCCATGCATCTGCCATAAGGAATGACCCTTGCTGGGAAGCCAGAGCGTTATCCCGGTGCGTCACCGTCTCCCGTGCGGCATCACGCCAGCTCAGGGCTGCGCATCCCGCGGCTCACGCAGAACCAGGGGTGTCCAGGGTGCCTTCCCTGCACCCTCCTCAGCCTGCTCACACCCACACAGCACCCTGGGGTGCAAAGAGGAAAAGCCCTTCAGCGGGTGGGTGGCACCATGAGAGACCCGAGCCCGGCTGGCACACGCAGAGCTACGAGGTGTTTGGCTGTGCAAGGAGCACACAAAGGAGAAGCCAGGCTGGATTCCTCCTGCTCACCCTATCTGGGGACGGGGCAAAGCCCTCCAGCGCTGGCTTCTCCTGCAGCTCCTCACACAGTTCCCTGCTCGGGCAGAGATTTCCACCGCAATTTGGCAGAAATTTGGCTGCCAGACTCCAGCATCTACCTGTCAGCCCCTGCACACTCCCAGCTGCCAGGGACCAGCAGCAGATGCCAGATGGGATGATGCCAGATGGGCAGGTCGGAGGGATGCGGCTACGTTACCGTGGAAATGTTCTGCCGTTTTCCGTCTCAGGGCCTCCACCGTCTCCTCCGTGTCTGCCCACTCCAGCACCAGCCTCCGGCCGTACAGGTGAGTGCTGTGGCACAGGGCGTTGAACGCTTTCTGCAAAATTTGGGGGAAAAAAAGGAAGAAAATAAGAAGACTCATAGGAGAAAACCAACAATTTCCATCCCTGAATCTAAGGCCACCAGAGAACATTCTACTATGAACATCTTTCCCTGACTGGATGGGATTCATCTCCCATTGCTATGCAAGGCTGGCTCTGGCATTTCCTTTTTTTGCTTCCAGTGGTTTCAAGCTGTATCCTGATTATTAGATATTGCTTAGGAACATTTGGATGTCTATAACCTCTGCTAACCTGGAATCTGCGCGTGTTGGCTATTGCATTCATTCAGAAAGGTCTCTGCATCTTTGGCTAACCAAGAGGCGTTCGGAAAACACCAAATGCCCAAGGGGAAACGTCCTCATGTCCACGCGTGGTGGTGACAGCAACAACCGTGTCGCGTTGATCACCACTCCCACCTGCACTAGGGATTTGGGTTGAGCGTCTTTCCAAATTTAGGCCAGTTTGAAAGGAAACATGTTTCTCCACAAAAAGTCCAAAATTCTAAACAAAAAGTGCAGGTTTCTCCTCCGACTGGTTGGTTCTGAGCAGCCGAGGTGGCTCCAGACAGTGGGGCTACCTGTCCCAGTGCTTTTTGTGCCCAGATGCTTCCACGAAGGCACAGGAATTTCCAGGCTCGGCGACGTGCTGTGTTTTCTGTGGGATATTCCCTTCCAGGAGGCTGCAGCCTCGCTGGTGCTTTTGCAGCTACAGCTGTTTTTATTTGCTGCTGCTGTTGTTTTAGAGGCCTCTTTTCCCTCGGAATGGTATCCAATTAGCAGAGCAATGTGTTGGCTTAAATAAACACTCAGGGGGAGGCGGCAGGAGGGAGCTGGGACGGCTGTTTGCGTTGGCACAAAGAGCCATTTTCCAAAGCCTGGCAAAACTAACTGCAGCTCCCATTGCTGGGTCTCCGCTGGTAATTTACACTTTTTAATTCCTCACTTTTGCAGCACGAGGAAGACAAGGGCCGGAGAATGGAATCGGCCAGGGATGAACCAGGAAAGGCCGCGGCAACCTCGCTTTGCTCCTGCAAAAAGCTGAAGCCCACAACTAAAATTCACACATCTGTGGCTTGGAGAAGAAGTGGGGATTTTTAACAGGGAGAAAGAAAGAACACAGCCATGAGTTAAGACAATCGATTAACAAAGCGATGACATTGAAAAAGACTTTCCTCTATATCTGCATCACTAGAAATCTTCTGATGAGGGGAGGAGAAGAGGAGGAAAACGGCCACTGCTGCTATTGCAAATAAAAGATTAGGTAGGGGAAAATGTATTTCAATTACATGAGAAATATGAAGAGAAATGAGCAAAGTCAGACTAGTTTCCAAAAAGAGCGGGGCTGGAAGGCTAAAGAAACCCAGGGAGCCACAGCTAAATCAGAGCCAGGAAACGCTGCACATGCGTGAGCAAAATATCCTTTTGGGAGCTGAGCCACTCAACTGGAATGAGGTAAAGCAGCACTTTAAATTGCTGGTGGCTGGAGCCTGCGCAGGCTGAGAGGCCCTGCAGATACCTGAGAGGCAAGAGAAAAGCAGAGGGAGGAAGGAGAGAGGCTGGAACAACAGTGCGAAAACGATCCTGGAGCTCCAGGAAGGGAATTCCAAGAAATTAAGGGACAGCTGATAAATTTACCTGAAGACCGGGCTGCGGGGAGAAGCCTGGAGCAGCACCCACTGTGCTGGGGCTTGGCAAAAGTCGGAGATGAAGAGCCTGGAGCGCTGCACTCATCTCCCCAGGTGCCCTGCCTCCCCAGCCCCAAAGGCTGGATTAATTCCGAGGACATTAATAGGCTCTGCCTATAGATTCCCCCTTGCCCTATTAAATGCTCAAGCCAAAGAGCCTCAGGGCTGGAGTCATTAGAGGGACAAGGGGTCAACAACATTAGGAGACTGATAAATTTCTGCTCCTCCAAAGGAAGTCACAACTGAGGATGTTCTCTGCGATGCCAGCTGCACACAAGCAGTTTTAATTCCATGCGTGTGTTTTTTAAAGGGTTGACTGTCTTTCCCGAATGGGCAATTTCTATTTGGAGACCAGATGTATTTTTATATCGACAGGGGAGAACAGTGGAAACTCTGCTTGCAGTTAATAGTTTAAAAATAAAAACAATCCCGCAACAACTCTGCACTGGGAGCTTCAGGAAACACACCACGTAGGTAACGCTTCCTTGCCCTGCTAATTTGTAATTTCCAGCAAATCAAAGTAGCCCTTCTCTTCTTCCCAAACTCCATACATCCTCAGCGGGTGGTCATCTTTCCTTGGACATTTCAAATCAAAGGCTTGGTGAGGGTATGCACCCCCTTTCTGGGAATATTACGAAGCTGAGGTTATTAGCCCCACATCTCTGCATGATCCCACAGCAGCAGCAACTGCCCAGGAATAAAAGACAAACATGGAAGGGCACAGGCTTCAAATGCCCAACAAAGCCACCCTAACTATCCTATTACAAAAACATCGTGTTTTATAAGACATTTAGAAGCTATTTCCAAATTACCACTCTGAGCAAAACCATCACTGACAGTCCACAGCTATTCAGCTCCGAGGTCTCTGGGCCTGCTCCCCTTCTCTCTCATTTCACTCAGTAATAAACCCTAAGCCAATTATGCCCGTGTTTACAATATTCCGAATCCTATTCATCGATCCTCAGCACATCCTTTTCCAGATGGCCAATGGAGAGCACTTGGTGTGCCACTTGCAAGACAATTAAATCCCTCAAAAAGATGATGGAAAAAAAAATCAAGAAAGGAAGAAAAGCTGCTTTGCTGCAGGGAAGGAAACCCACCGAGGGCTCTGTCACAGGGTGACTCCCTTGGCACACGCCTGTCTCCCGTGGGCAGCGCATCCGCCTCGGCCAACTGCTTCCCGGGCAGCTGCGGCAGGGAACGAAGAGCTTGGAAGGGGGTGGCTGGGGCAAAAAGCAATTGGGAAGAGCTCCAAGAGGAGCAGTGGCAACAGGAGTGCTTGGAGGATGGGGCTTGCTGGGTTCATACCCACCAGGCTGCTGCTACGGACCATCCCGCAGCATCGCAGGGGCAGGAGCTGGACTCGCATGGAAAGCTTTCTGCTAAATTCTTGCAAGTTTGCTCAGGAAAACATTCAGGCTCCAAGGAAAACACTGGGAATGAAGCCTGAAAGAGGAACTCTGACGCGAACCAAAGTTAGAGCAAATTTGACCAAAGACTCAAAATCAGCACAAAGCCACATGCAGAGCCGGGCAGGGAGCTGCCCTTGGAGTTGGTTCAATCCAGCAAACGCTGCCGAAGGAGCCGGCCCAGGCGGGAAGGACGAATGTGAAGCTGAAGGAATTTGGAGTTACGATCAATACAGGACTAACAAAGAAACTCTCTGCACTGTGTTATATGGGAGGTCAGACTGGAACAAATGATCTAATAGTCCCTGGTGATCTCCAATCAATGAATCCTGTCTAAAAACATCAACACAGGCTCCGCTCGCTCCCTCCTCCTGCCTCCTTCCCCTCCGCTCACTGTGTTGAAATTTGGAGTCTAAGTCACTGGAGCCGTTTGGTCCCCTCATGCCATCCCTTGGCTGGTCCCTATGGCTGTTACACTTCCAGCTACGGAGCAAATCCCTAAAACCAGCACTGCTCCAGCTGCTCAAATACCTCTGCCAGGAGACAGGGCCCCTCAAGGCCCTCTCTTCTGCCTTGAGGCCAACCATGCCTGGTTCATCCTTCTGGCAAAGGGTAAAAGCAGGATAGGGACAGGCAACAAATCTCCTTGTTTCTTCCAGAAATACTGAACTTAACTGTGTGAAAAACTGAGAAAGGGTAGGACATTTGGAACTGCAGTCTATCGTGGCTTAAAACACTATCAAATATTTTCTAGCATAAAGGATGTGCGGATTGGAAAAATATCACAATACTGCGCCGAGAGGCTTTGGAGCTTTTTGGGGTTAAAGCAAAATGTAGTTTTAACCTGCAGGTTTTAGGAGTTCCTTGGCTCAGTTCTTGGTGCTCTGGATGGAGTTTCCCTGGGCACAGCTGCCTGTTGTGGATATTTTCCATATTGCCTTTAAATGGCCTTCCTTGTCCAACCTAGCAGCCATTCCTTGCTTCTGCCAAGGTATTGATCCTCCCTCCTTGGTCCAAGAAAATGAAGTTCTGCATTACCGAACTTCAGCTTTGCTCCTGTGTTTAGGGACTGGGCTTTTCTGCCACCCCCCACAGACGTCCCACTACCAATGGGACCAAGAACATTCATTTAGGAGTCCCTGATGCCCAAGTATCTCAGAGCCAGCTGTCCCCAATGGCCTCGAGTGACAAAGGTTGGCACGTGGGTACGGGTGGCCATATAGGTGGAGATCCAGCTGGCTCGGCAGCTCGGTGCTTAGCATCGTTCCTGTGAGCCCTTTCTCCCAAAAGCAGCAACTTGCAGCCCTTAAAGCAAGGCACAGCAAGGAACCTGGCTCTGCCCCCTCTTTTCTTATAGCCACAGATGAGAAGTTGCTTGACCAAACAGAACTGGAGAATGAACCTAAATTTTAGTTTTATCTCATGGGACAATTTGCCAATACCACAGCCTTCACAGGCTGCAAATCCAAGTGTAGGAGAGAAGGAGCCTTTGGCTACACCGGAGTTTTAGCCTCTCTCTAGCTTTGCTGAGGACTAAATGACAGAGCTTCCCATCTCACTTCCTCACCTTCTAGCCTGAGCCTGACCTGGGAAGGAGCCGGAGGGAGAGGAGGATTCGCCAGGTTTAAGCCTCACCTTGGCATCCTGCTTGGTGAGGAAATCCACAAAGCCAAAGCCGCGGTGCGAGCCCGTTCCTGCCATCTTCTTGGGCAGCCGGACAGTCTTCAGCTCTCCAAAGGTGCTGAGAACAAAAGAGCAAAAAGCAGAGACATTAGAGACCAAGGAAAGGACCAGCTTGTTGACCACAAACCACGGCGCTATCTAGTACAGAAGCTTTCCTGGGCGCCACGTGTCCAAAGCTCAGGAATGGATGAAAATTCAGCTTGGATGTAAGAGTACAAACCGTAACACAGCAGCAACTGTCTCTGTTTTAAGCGCTGCACTTCCCCTCCCCTGGGAATCCTGCAGAAACCAGGGATCCGTCCCGCAGGCAGGGCACGAAGCCCCTCCTGTAGCTGCTGTTAGCACCAGGCAGGGGTGCCCCTGATCCATGAAAAGCACCTTTGAAGCTGCGCGCGGCAGCCCACGGGGCATCGAGGCACCCGAGCATCGCTCTGCGAGCGCCTCTCTGCAACGTTTCCAACGAGTTTGCGAGTGCCAACAACACAAAACAGCAGGAAAAGGGAAAGAAAGGGGTGGACAAGGTGCAGGGGAAAACCAGGAATGGCCTCCGATAAGTACCCTGTCACTTGATATTAAAGCACGTGGCCAGCTCCTCGACCTGGATCTTGTCTGTAAAACTGGGAAAAAGAAGCGGAGGGAGAGCCGAGCTTGGGAGAGGGCCCACACAGAGGAGATGCTCTCTCTGCATCCTGGCTCCTGCTTCCTTCTCTCCTCCCCTCCCGGCCATTTATCAAGCACATATGCACAAACGGCAGGCAATAAATATTTAATGCAGCCGGGGTCTGAGTGGAGGCGTCATTTTATTTGAAAATCTGCACACACACGCGCGCATACACAAACGCAGCCCGGGATGCACCCGCCAATAAACACAGTAAAGGCCATAAACGCTCTCGTGCAATGATATAAGCTAAATCCTGGGAGTTAACCTGCTGCACCGGCAGCATGACCAGGCATTCATCTACCCAATTTCCTTGGGCAACGTGGTGTGTAAATGCACCATTATGAAGCCTCAAAATGAATCGGCACGTCTGCTGCGCGGAGCCTTCCTCCCTCTCCTTCCTCCCGCTTGGAGCGGACACGACGCAAACAAACAAACAGAGCGGAGCGGCGGAGCCGGAGCAGCCCGGGATCCAGGGATGTCTGGCTGTGGGAAGGCTGCGGGGCTTCCTGCCACAGCAGGGTCCTCCTGCCAGGTGACAGGGGACACGGGAGCTCTGGACTTGGCCTTTTTTCCCCCCGTTTGCTGCAGTCTTGTAGTACCTTGGGTGACAGATAACGCGAGTTCTTGACCCAAGGAGATTAATAGCGAACCAGAGGGGATGGATGGTGGGTAGCAGGGGTGGCCTTGGCTCTGACCTGTCACACCAGGGAAGACAGGGCCTGTGTCACAGCCGCTGCCTGCAGAGGAGCAGAGCGCATGGACCGACAGGGCGGCCCCGCGCTGGAGCAGAACCGGCCGAGACGCACCCTGTGCTCCACGGTGAGGATGACGGGGATGAAGGCTGGGGATGGACACGAGTGGCACCCGCCGAGAGCTCCCGCAGGGATGAGCCAGAGGAAACCCCAGCGGAGAGGGAGGGAAAGGAGCCGCAGGGACAGGACAGCCCCGCACAGCGCCAGCGCTGACCCCGCCGGGCCAGGGAGCAGAACGCCCTCCCTCCCACTGCGCCGCTAATTAGAAACCACAACGCAGCAATTACCAGCCGAGGAGCTGCGAATGAAGCCGGCAGAGCGGCCCTTTAATGTTCTCCTCCCCAGCGCCCGGCACAGCCTCACACTTATTTTTTTTCCAATTATTTCCTTCAGATTTAGGAGGAGAGGGGTTGAGGAAGAGGGAACCCAATTACCTCCTGCGGCGCCAGGTTTGTCTTGCGCAGGGCGCTGCGCTGGCTCCCGCGCCGGCC